AATAATCCTGTAGTCACTATAAATGATTTTTTAAGAGCTGCTAGATCGAATCCTCGGCAAAAAAAATGACATTCAGCATCAACATATTTGCAACGTTATAGTTAATGTAGTCCAGTGGGCATTATATTTTCTGGAGGGGTTCTGGGGGTCTTGCCATTTTTTACAGTCAACCTCAGACCCTCTGGCTTGCAAACCTTAATTTTTACAGACTGGCAAACAGCAGAGTAGTTTTGCTTAAATACTTTTTAAAACAAATTTTTAAAGCATATTAATTACATATTGTTGTAGACCCCTCTGGACTCACCCACAGTACTTTCGCCCCCAAGAAAACAGTTTTAGATTGCATTTATTAAGGTTAATCATGTATTAATTGAGACCAAAAGTGTATTAATATGGTCTTAAAGCAGAAGCAAGGAGAGGCGTTGTAGCAAAGCTGTTTAGTTGGATTAATAGCTCAGTATATCTTGGTTACATGCTGTACAAATTCTGCACCTGAACCACCAAGATGTTGCTCATTTTTATGAACATGGCTGCAGTTCTACTGTTTGTCTCATCCCTACAAGGTGTATGTTGATTAGATGTGTTTGTATTTATGAGGTTGATGTGCTGAGTACAGAAATTCTCCTCTTCACACCAAGGAGAGGATTGTTGCACTTGCTTTCTTTACACTCATATAAACACACTGAGTCTAGGTACTTTCCCTTCATCTACCTCCTCATACACCAACGTAATGCCTCCTTGTGCCATAGAACAAGTTCTGTGTAAAAACAACATTAATTCAGGTCTTGCCTAATTGCATCAGAGATTTAGATCTGTTCTCCTGTACAGTTCCCTGCAAAAGCTCAGACTGCTCCTAATCTGCAGACCAACACAGCACTGGATTGATGGTGGGATTAAAAGAACGAGAGAGGTGTAGCATCCCTCAAATACTGCAGCTCTATCACTGAATTCAGTTTAGAATATTTATCTTTTCCTCTTGCACGCCCGATTGCATCTTCTGTATCTTACAAAGCCTCTCGCTTTGTTTTTCATTTCCGTTTGCGTTTGTGGGGGTGTCTCTCTTTCTTCAACACACACTTAACTAGTCAGTATATTAACTTGCAGGAGCTGTGATGTGATGTAACACTTTTTTTATTAATTACATTGTATCATGACAGACTGGTCCATGTTCAGAGAGAAATCATATCATCACTAGCATCATGACTCACTATGATAGTTTCAACCACGCAACTGTATGACTGTACAGGTTCCTTCTGGTGCGTGTTTCTGTGTGTGTTCCCTAGCAGGGCACAGATGGTTGGCATCAAAACCTTTGCTTTACTGTATCAAATAACATGTTTGCAAAGACAGCTACATTAAGAATATTCCCAGCTTTTACATCGTGTGCGTTGCAGTACAGATGTTAACATGCTGAACAGCATTTTTTAGCAGGGAAACTTTAGTGTCTTGTCATCTGTCCTATCCACAAGACTTCCAAATATCTATTTTTCTACAGCAGCACGACCCTCACAATACAGAGATAAACACAGTAAGGAGGAGCAGTTTTTGTGGCATTACATGGTCCAGGAGGTTGGGCTTCGAGAAGCATCCAAGCACAAGTGTAATCTTAGAGATGACCTTTATGCTATTTCAGCTCTATTAGCTTAGGGTTGTGTGTGTGAGAGAGAGGAGATTAAATGTGATAGGGGTCACAGCATTCCCAAAGGACTGATGTGTATCTGTACTGTATATGGAGAATATATTTTAGTCCACTGACTCTCATACTTTAGCCCAAATTCGGTTCAGTGTTTGTTACAGTGAGGTGATAGGCAAAGGAAAACAGCTGTTAATATTGCTAATATAACTCTGTAAAACCCAGGCTATAGTAAGTCATATAGACAGGAATGCTGATTTTGGAGTCAAGAAATAAAGCGATTGAGTGATTCCATAAATCTTAGCTGCCATGATACCAACCTCAGTCCGACTGGGCAAAGTCATTTATCATAAATTGGAGAACGGCGACAAGAAATCAATTCATTGAATCTCATTGCATTTGAACTAGGATCTGAGTAGAGTCTGAACCTGGCTTATGGATTTCTCCTGTCTGACTCTGGCATCAATCAGATATCTCCATGCACACACACAAACACACCACCAGGAGAATGAGCAAACACCGCTCTGCATCCCAGGGACTGCTGTACTGCATGTCGTTTTGTTTACTTGTGAGTCCCACACATTCTCGCTTCTGAGTCCTTCACTTCTAATATAAAAGAATAAAATAGTACAATCTAGATACTGACACAGTCTCAGACACAGCAGTTAGCAACGCTTAGCTCTTTTTAGCAGCTTATTCACATTTGTACATGTATTTTTGTTCATTCCTCTCACTGTTATTTCATAAAAAAAGGAAAAAGTAGCACTTCTAGAGACCAAAGTTTAAGACTATCACATACAGTATAGGCAGCATAGAAGAGGAAAGGTGGTTCAGTAGTCTATTTTACAGTAGGTCACTTGAATAGGAGAGAAGTCTGATTGTCAGTCCATCCTTTTCTGAGGTGTCTGTTCATACAGCAGTTAGAGATGTAGCAGTTTTCCTCCTGTTATTTCTTCATTTAACCAATATCTTTGAAGCATCAGTGTGAGTATAGCCGATCTTCAGCTGTTGGTTTCACAGAACACTCCTACATTGTGCTGACAAGTCTTCATCACAACAAACATCCCTCTCACAGCTACTTCTTCTTCTCATAAGTGTCAAAACATCACCACTGTCTACGTTGACATAGTTCATTATTAAAAAAAACAAAAAGGAAACACAGCAGGTACACACACAGTGCAGCCAACTGAGATGTTGCTTCAATGTACTCTACTCTTTTGACATCAGAGGCATTTGTATGCACTGTTTGTGTCTTAGTTTTTTTTTTTTTCAACTCAGGTCCCCACCAACCCTGCCCTCTGTTATTGCACAGAGTTATTGTGTAGTGAGTTTTTGTGAGTCGTGTTGAGTACTCACTCAGTGCAAGCTCTACTTGACTGTACAGCATGGATGGATTTTGAGGACTGTGTGAGCCTGCAGTGACAATTCTGCAGCCCTTAACCCTTGCATTCATGATCTGACAGGTGACAATCTCGTAATATGTCAAACTAAATGTACCAGTGTGACAGACTGGTGAAACATCCATCCGTGTTGTAGAGTATGCTGTACATGAGGGCGGGCTTGGTCTCTGTTAAGATAGAACCTGACATAAAAACACATACACACAAGATTCTCTTATACATTTGCAAAAAACATAATTAAATGTTAAGTGTTCAATATCAGTCTTTCTTGTTGCAAAAGGCAACCTCAGATATAGAAAGAAATGTACAAAATGCTTCTTAATTTATAAATAATAATACTTAAAATCAACAATTTCGAGTTAACCAACATCAATACCATCAAGTGCTGTGGTTACTAAACAAATGAGACTTAATTCCAGATGGGTGTTTTACATCTGATTAAAATGGCTGTTAGTGAAACCGCAGTGATTACGGCTTCTGAAAGAGTAAAATATGCCCCAGTAAAATGCAAAAACAAACATTAAATGTGTTTTCTTGCATGCATGTGTACTGTTGAAGCTATATACAGTGTGTCTGTAACCGTTTGACCAGATTATGTGAGCTGAACTGTAAGTGAGTGAAGTGGTTCTCAATAATGAGGAAGTGCGATGAATAACTGAGTATATTTCAGTGTAAGCCAGTGTTGGACTGCCAGTAAAATGTGTGTGTGCGCGGTTGAGGGCAACCACAGGAATGTGATGGGAACATGAAGTTGTGGCTTATAGAACAACTCCAGGCCACAGTAATGATGGATGGTCCCTCTTACTCTCTCTCTGTGGACATTCATGCCTCCTCTTGCGCTCTCTATTCCCCTTTTTCACTCCACTGTCTTCTCTTTCTCCGCATGACCTGTTCTTACCTTTTCACTCCGCTCGTCTCCTCCTTTCTAACCCACTGCTTCCATTCTGAACTCTCTCCCAACCTCTCCATTTCTTCCCAGTATACATTATTACCTCCCCTCTTTCTCCTCTCCACTGCTCCTCATTTCTCTGTTTTCCTCTCATTTACCTTTCCATCTCTCCATCCTTCCTTCTCCACCATAAAACAATAAGTCTTGAATGTCTGTGAGGAGACTGTGCTAATGGAGCCCATTAGGCTGTAATGAAATATACATTACACCATTACAGAGGACAGGGCCTGGCTAAAGCACTGCACCGCTCAAATAATAAAACATGCACAATTCAATTTCCTTCTCGGCCCGTTTTGAGTGTCTTACAGTGAGTGTGTATGTATGAAGATGAAGGGATGACAGGATAAAGTATACAGTTTGTGTGTGTGTGTGTGTGTGTGTGTGTGTGGGTGGGAGTGGGCATTCCCTCTTGCACAGATGTGGTTTTCAAGGATGTCTGAGTGCTGAGCGTCTTGATGATTTAATATGGGTTGACCAGATGAACCACACCTTCTACAGTGCTGCCAACCACACACATGACCACTCAAAACCCAGCCTGTTTTAACAACTCCTTTAACCCCCCCCCCACTACCCAGACCTAGTGATTGTCACACAGCTGTGGACAAATTAATCAATTGACCTCCGACACCAGCGCTTGACATCACAAGTGAAGCATCTGTCAGATGTAGTCCTCATGTTACCCTGTGCTGTGTGACAGGGCAGCCCAGGCCTGAGCAAAGTAACAGAAAACAATGGTAATACAATGCAGTATGCAGATATCAGTGCATATATCCATAAAATCATATATACCAGTCTGTTGCATGAGGAGATATTGTAGCCTCAGTCTTATTCCTGATTTTTTTTTGCTTTCACCACAGCAGCTCAGTTAAGCTTCAACCTTTTTTGGGTCATTATTTGGTTACAGACAATCTAACGCGTACCATTGTGTTAATCATCACCGGTGTAGTCTTTCCTATGAGCCATGTTGGACAAATACTGACATTAATACTGGTGTACAGTTCTGTGAAACTGACAAAGACAGACTGACAGGATGGGGAGGGAAAACACAGTGTCTTTATGGCTCAACATGTCACAGAGCCATGTCCTTTCAAACTACTGTACAGTTTCATATTTACAAGCTAAGGAATGAAGCTTCTGGGAAACCTCCCTCAAGGCCGTGGACCCTTGAAATGAGTCCTGTCCAACAGGCAGCGAGGGATGAGTCAATAAATGTAAAGTCCTGGTAATCAGGTTTAATCAATTTTGCCCCAATCAGTTTAAAGCATTTGAAAAGAAGTGAGAAGCTTTTTTCCTCCAAAATTACTCTTAATAAATGTCTCTTTGGGAAGGAAGGAAGGAGTGGAGATGCACAAAGGAGAGGAAATTGGGAGGAGAGGAGCGATCAGGGATGAGTTGAGGATTTTTTTTTTTTTTCGATTGCCTTTAGGAGTTTGATAATAACCACTTCCTGTACAGCGGCACCTTTCACACACACACTTGCAGTCTTGCACACTCAGAGGTATCACCATGTCCACCTTATCACACACGCATGCAACCGCAAATACACATACACATTTAGTTACACTAATCATCCCGACCTAGATGCACATGCATCCAGAAACTATCCTCTGTCCTCGTGTGGTCAGCCCAGTATATCCAAATATACAGGTGAGGCCTTGGCCAGATTGAGGAGCAGACCATGGATTTCTTTGATGTTCAGTCTCATGTGCGGCTCTCTCTGCCAGCAGCCCAGCATCACGTCATACACTTCTTTAGGACAGGTCCTGGGGCGCTGCAGCACCCTACCCTGGGTTATACATTCTATCACCTAGGGAGCGACAGAAAGACGAGTTTACAGTCAGTGCTGTTCTTGACCCTCTGTTACACACAAAACAAAAGGAGACAAACAGGAATTCAAGCTGAAAAGTGTAATTTTCTGAAGGTTCAAAATGGAGCATCTGCTTGGTAAAGTTTGTTTCACTTCATTGCAGTAGTACACAGTGAAAATGTCACAGTGAATAAACGATTTAATGAACTGATGAAGTTGTACTGCACAGGAATTTTCATCCAGAGAAGTCGCAAAAAAAAACAAACAAGTATTTACTACAGTACACACGCTGTACAGTTAATTTGTCATTGTAGCACACTTCATGTATTAATTTAAAAAACTGATTTCAGCTTTAAATGTATTTTGGGGTGAAGATTTGTGGATTTGCCACTGTGTGCAGAGAAAAGTTGTTCTTAGTTCAAATAGTATTTTGTAAATCAATGCCTGGCAGCAGTTACTGCCATTAGCCTGTAATATAATTAAAAAAATAAAATTTCCTCAAAAATTAAAACTTGCTGTGTATGTGTAATGAATACTATATGACTTAAATTAAACCCCCAGACCATCTCTTAATCTCGCTAAATATCTATTTTAAAAACTAATACCTGAAGATTATCATGCAGAATCTCAAAATTATTAAGGATCTGATCTTTAAGTGTTATCATTTAGCTAATCACACAGTTACTCATGCAGCAAGTCCTCATTTTGTGATGGCAATCGCTGTGTGAGAGCACATATATTGTTCATATCATATTTTGGAACAAAACTTCATATCCTGTATAGACAATATGTGAGAATCAGATTTGGGTCAGGGGTGAGTAAATCGTACATCAGTGGAGGTTTAATAGATGCTAATGGGAAAAGAAGACTGAGGAAGGGGCTAGAGGTTAATTCTGGCTGTAACCAGAGTGAGACATGGTTAGAAAGCTGTAACTAGAGCTGAGGTCAAAATGTATTTCAGGCTGAGGTTAAGGTGTAGGGTTGAAAGGCTCTGTGTGTGCTGTGCTTTCCAGAAACTGGGTAAAGCCTCTTAGTGTAGTAAAAGGAAGATGTGTAAGAAGAATTTATTATTCATTAGAAGTAGCCAGTTTACTTATTTGTTTTCTTTTTGCTGATACAGAACGGCATCATTTTATCATCATGGGCTGGCTGTGTATTAAATACAGTATGTTAAATTGAGGAGGTATCCTCGTTATGTTCAATAAATTATCTGATGTTATTTGAGCAAGTGTTTAACAGAGCTGAAAGTATGAACTTTGTATTTTCGCTTTTTATTTGCACTTTTATAGTCTTAAGAGTTAAATCATTGTATTCCAGACTGTCGGACAGTATCATGTCTCAGCTTGTTCCAACTCTTCACTGGAGCTAGATGATGTTTACCCAGTGTGAAATCCTATTTTTTAATTGGCTGTAACACTCAGTGAAAATATCCTGCATATAGCACATGTATAACAGTGTCACCAGACCATAAAATTCAGTGTGATCCATGACAAAATAAAGGTAGAGTTGTAAGTTCTTTTTGAAAAACAGGGATTCAAAAGCAAGGCACATCAGCTCATGGACCACCCGGACAGTGATGCCAGACGGCCGCACTTTCCCTTCTGTTGCAGTGTGAATGTTGAGCAGAGCAAAACAAGTGAAAGAGCCCAGGAATATTGCACTTTACAATTAATTCAAGATTCAAAACAACTATAAACAACTCACTAAGTTTCTAAGCCACAGAAAACACAAAACATATACCTATGGGAGGCTTGTTCACACAACTGATCGAAGAGTTAGATTTGATTTTTAATGAAAGACTGTTTGCTCATATCTTTGGGCTGCAAAATCTTGTTTGTCATTACTTATTCAGCTGAAGGTGCTTTCAAGGTAACAACTACATAAAGTAATAGCCTTGTGCTTTGGAATACACTTTTTGTTTGGTTTACACCAAGGTGCATCTCTGACTTCGTGCCTGCTAGCGTGTCAAGAAGAATTTAAATGGTTACATCTATATAATACATTACTACACTGTATTCTGTACCTCATTATTGGAGAGCTGGTACCAAGGCTGTTTTCCATAGGTGAAGATCTCCCACAGAACAACTCCTAGACTCCAGACATCGCTTTCTGTGGTGAACTTTCTATACATGATACTTTCAGGGGGCATCCAGCGGATTGGCAGCATGGTGTGACCACCGACCTGTGAATGCACACACACACACACGCACAAGGAAAAAGAGACAGTATAAAGTCAATATAGTGGAAAGACGAATGAATGAAAATTTTGACGTTTTATTTTTAAGCACCTTAAATGAAAGTGTTTACAAGGACACGAGATTCCTGGTTATGATCAGGTTTTTGAAATATCCCATTTTTGTTTGTACATGTAAACATCATATTCTGATTTCAGAAAGCTAGATGATCTTTTATCTTGGTCCTGGAGTACTCCGAAAAAAACTGGGACACTGTTGCATATATTCATTTTATCCTGGTTTCTGAACACTCCCTTGTCTGCACAGGTGCAGCTGCAGCATCAAAGTGACTTAACACAATGTCAACAGTGAAAGCATCTTGCTTTGGTGAAATTTTTTCTTTTGGCAATGAAGTAGTTAAATTCACTGTAATTTAGATGGAGAAAAAGAAATGCTGATCAGTGGACAAGTTAAAGCTAAAGTATGTAGGCTTCCTTATTTTTTTCCAATGGTTTTGTTGTAGAAATATGCTCCAAACCTTGTTTTTATGTGGAGAGGTGCTGCTGAAACCTCTTGAGACCCAGATTTATTGAACAGCGCTGGCAGCAGATATTAGATTCTAAAAGGTTTTGAGCGGGATTGACTTCTCTAACCAGATTTTCAGTTATTTCTGCTTGATCAGTTGGTTTTGTTGCATTCTTTTATTGTAATTTCATAACAAACATCTTTTTTATTATGATCAAAACCTGGATGCTCTTAATAACAAGATAATCGTGTTCATGTCATTACATTAAATGTCATCCCATCTTCTGACCAACACATAGTCACTTCTCTTCTACTGCATTCTGTTCTGTTCTGGGACATCATCTGTTTCAAGTGCATTGCTTCATATTTCTCACAGGAATTTCAATACAATTTAAAGCAGTGTTGCAAACATGTCAATCCCCCAAGCTGCTGCCTGAGGCATTTAAGAGAACGAGGTTTGTAGGCAGGACACAGTGGTTTGTGTCATTTCTGTGACTGTAGCACACCTCACTCCTGATCAGCTCCTAGCTGTATTTTACTGTAATGTGTACGGGTGTACAGGGTATATGGCACTGAGTTCAGGATGCACTAATTAACTGGCTACAGATTCAGGGAAAAATGATCTAATGCAGTATATGATCAGTTGGTGTGAGTTAGCAAAATGTTTTAAAAATGTGTGTGTGCACTGCTAGTGTCCCATGTGAGTAAAATTTAATTAATTGAAAATTATTTTAATTTGACCTTTTCTAATGTCGCATTTAACAGCGCAATGAGTTCTAGTGATTCTGAGAAAGCAGAATTCACCAGCTCGAAGCTCTCTGACAGACATATGGGCTTTTCATTATGCTCTAATCTGAACTGGGCCTTTGGAGCCTGTTTAATTGTCAGATTCATTTGATGTTTTTACTGTTCATAAACACTGACGGCTTATTCCAGACTACCTCAAATTATGAGGCTTGAATCAGGTTAATGTAGCAGCAGCAGAGTTCAAAGTATGAAAAACTTTTCACGGTGACCCATGGATGAAAGTAAGTGAATACCTCAGCCATAAAGTACACACTACCATGGAATTACAACTGTTTGGATAAAAGCTGTAACATCTTGCATGTTAATTATTTGTCACTGTCACTCTCCTTTCCCCACCTTAAGTAGCTTTAAGGTCAGGAAAATCTAATTATTACACAGTGACAGATAATATATATTCTACAGTATATCAGCTTGTTTTCTTTGAAGTTAAGTTGTTTATACTGAGTGAATTATTCAGACCCAGTCATTACAGGAAATGCTGTAAATGTATTTAGTATTTTAGGAAAGTTTGGAATCTCCACTATTAACCCTTTCATGCATAGTGTTCACTACAGTGGACAGCTATTTAAAAGCTGTTTTCTTGTATGTGCATGGGTTCTGATTGAGTAGTTGCATATCATCCACTTCAGTGGACGCTAGTGTGTTGTTCCGTACACTGCCACCCACTGGTCAGCCATTGTAAGTGCAAAAACAAGATCTTAAAACCAAGATGGCTGAACGAAAGCCAGAAAGGCTGATTAGCGTAGGAATAGGGGTTATGCGCAAGTTACTTCCGTATACTGCAAAACAGAATCATCCAAAATCAAAACTTTCCACCGGATTGCCTCTTGGATGGTAAGGTGTGGTGTGGGACTTGGAAATCCCTGCATGCCTACAAAGCTTCGCCACTAATTCCGACTTAAAACAGGCCCCTTGGTCACTGTGCAGTCTGTGAGGAAAACCATAATGACTAATGAAATTCTCCCACAACACTGTGGCAACCGTCTTTGCTGTCTGATCTCTTGTTGGATACGCTTGTGCATATTTGGTGTAATGATCAGTTATGACCAGTATGTTCCTAGTGTCTTTTGAATCTGGTTCTAATGTCAAAAAGTCTATACAGACAAGTTCAAGAGGTCCGTTAACTTTGATGTTCACTAGTTCAGATGCCTTCTGTGCTCTAGCTTTCCGCCTTACACACCTCTCACAGGTTTTACACTTTGTTTCAATATACTTGGCCATCTTTGGCCAGTAGAACCTAGCTCTGGCTAGTTCCAATGTCCTCTCAATGCCCATATGACCCGTTTCATCATGAACACCCTGAAAAGCCCTTTCTCTGTGACTGCTAGGCAAAACAAGTTGATGAAAAGCTTCACCCCTTTGATTTAGAACCTTGCGATACAACACCCCATCCACCAAATCTAACTTTGCCTTCTCTCTTAAGAACAACACCACTTCAGGTATCTCAGACCTCCTATCTATTGTCTCATTAACGGAGCCTGTTTCTACCATGTCAATGACCCGAGCTAGAACAACATCTTCTCTCTGCAATTCTCGCCAATCTTCTAAAGACATCCCGGGTAAAGCTGCCTGACCTGGCAATGGGGCTGGCTCTTCAAAGTCACCAGGAACCGCACTCTCATTACACAAAAGGGTTTCAATAGCAGGTAATCTAATGTCAGAATCCTGCTCACTTTGTTCTAAGGCTGTATGCAGGTAGACACCATGACGTATACAGAACATGCTCACGGTCTCCTTATCAAGAATCTTAAACTCCTCTGGGGACAGGTTAACCCGATCTAGCATACTGGAGATCTTCTCATCCATCTGCCTTGACTCCTCATCCTCCTGAGAGGGTTCATGGGGTCTCCTTGAAAGACCATCGGCATCAACATTATGTTGACCCGATTTGTAATGGATATCAAA